CTAGTGCGACAGTGACAATGTAGGATCTGTGTGTATGTGTGTGCGTGCCATGTCTTTGACAGTACCAATTAGCTTTGGACCGTAAGAATGAGAAAATAATTTGTTTTTATTAAGGTTAAGGTAAGGGCAGGGGTTAGGCAAAAATGTATGTGTGCATGCATAGCGCTGCAATGATTAATCGATTAGTTAACAATTAATAAAAAGGATCGGCAACTGTTTTGATAATCAATTTTTTAAAGGAAAACGAAAGTAAATTCTCCAGCTTCCAGCTTCTTAATTGTGATTATTTTCCGGTTTCCTCTATTACAGTAAACTAAAATCTTTGGATTGTGGGCAAGACATTCGAGGATGCCATCTTGGGCTTTGGGAAACACTGATCGCCTTTTTTTTTTTTTTTTTTAAACCATTTTCTGACATTTTATAGACCAAACCACTCATCAATTAAACAAGAAAATAAACAAATTAATCTGCAATGAATATTATTGTCACATAGCAGTACCCACCACTGAGTTGGAGCTATAACTTATGTAACTAATAATCTAAAGAGCAGTCTAAACATTTCAGCAAACGCATACAGGTACACTGTTGTGTAAACAAGCATTTTCTGCATCCAAGTAACACGGCAACAATTACACTCCATCTATCAACAGCAGAGATCAAGAGGGAAAGCGAAAGCGCTGTTCGAGACATCACTTGCAGCTGGAGTGTAGACAAAACCTTAGCTGAATAAGTACGATGGAATCCCATTGTAAAATTTGGAACATAATGATATTTGGCAAGATAACCAACGAAAATAGATAATATAATGCTCCTCTAGAAGAAATTCATACCCTGTATCAACTCCTCCCACTCACATTTGACTGACATTCAGTTTCTTTCATCCAACACTGCACTCCCAAAGATATATGAAAGAAATAAAACACCTTGCCTCATCTGCAGCCTCTCATGCATGTTTTTCATGTAGGCTCATGGCTCTGTACAAGGCCTTGATTTTTACAGAAAAACCTCCCACAGTGCACACATCTTCATAGACTACATCTTTAGGGAATGACTTCACTCAACAGTGTCACTTTGAATGAGCGGTATCCAACATCGCCACATGAACAGATGGTGAATGTTACCTCTCATAAAATAATTGACAGATTACGCTGTGTCCAACCTGCTGGTTTTGTATCAATGCCAGACTGAAGTATCAAAATCTAATCCTACGTTAGTGCAGAATCTAACCACTAATAACAGACAAAACTCTTGACATGCACTGTAAACACATTTCAGCATCATGTGGGTCAATAAGGGCCAATAACACCAAGAATTATTATGTTTTACAACTACACATTCCAGTTCATGCTGAGGAAAAACTGTCTCTTTCATAAGACAAGACATGAAATTCATTTTTGCAGTGTTTCTACAATTCACTACTCCAAAACGGTACTTGGGAATGGAACAGCTCTCTCTCTCTCTCTCTCTCCTTTATTGGCATGAATGTAATAACAACATTGCCAAAGCATCATATATACACAACATAAGAACAATCAGCCCCATACATTTCATTAAACAATTAAAGCGTAAAGTAATCAAAGCGTATGTGTGTTTGTGTTTAAAAAAAAGAACAAAAAAGAAATATTAAAAATGAAAATAAAATAAATAAATAAAACAGTAAGCGTAAAAATATATATATAAAACATTCAAATAAATAAAACGGTAAGTGTGTGTATTAAAAAATATATTAAAAAAATGCTCTCTCTCTCTCTCTCTCTCTCTCACAGAGTGCACAATAGAACAGCAGTTGCAATTTTTTGTTAAGTACAAAGCAAGCACAAGGGTACAACAAGCTGGCTAAGACTTCAGGCCTAATTTAGCTGTCCACGTTTTTAACCGAAAGGCAAAAGCAAAATTCATTAACAAAGTTTTTCTGCCATCTTTTCAGACATTTGGACATCTTCAAATATGCTTGATTTAGTCAAATCTGCTATGCTGTTGTAGTACATAAAGACAGGGTTTGGAAACAAGTACACAGGGCTGAAGCAGTGCTTACTTTAAAGTTATCTCTGAGTTAACTCTCCCAACAGAAATGACAAGCAGTGCTGCCACATTTGTTTTCCAAATTCAGCATCTAGTTTTGTTCTCTTTTCTGTTGACACGCAGATACCCTGGTTTCTGAGCGGTTTCCTCTCCTAAAGCTTTCTTTTAGCACACTCAGGTGAACAGTCACTTGATCTTGTTTATGTTTTGGAGACAGCAGGGCATCTAAGATTCCTCACAACCAAATCCAAATGAAGAGTCTTTTCATGTGTAACTCCAAGCCTGAACTAAACAGTTTATTCTATGTGTGACAACTTTGACAAGACAATCAATTCTAGGAAAGAAGGTTGTCTTTTTAAACAGTACAGAGATTCTAGGCTTCGCACAGTTGAAAAGTTTGTGCCCAGCATAGGGATGAAACAGATTTTTCAGATAATGAATGGGGTGACCCATGTAAGCACCAATAATTGGCTATTCTGAGATGGCACTGCTGTTATTTCCAGGCCACTTTATTCCCGTGGGAGCATTACAGCAATTTTTATGAAATGCTCTTTAAGAGGGGAACACTTTTGATGAGGAGCACGAGAGGAGAGAGGATGAAAATAATTGTTGGCTTAAGATCCTTCTCATAATATCATTGTTCTATTGTTTCATCCTGCCACAGCCATTTCTGTTTTTAATGTACGTTGTATTTTGCATCTAAACTTCTGACTGGAACTGACTAAATTTGTAAGACAACAAGGAGGTTTTTCCTTGCCTCTGTCGCCTAGTGCTTGCTCTTGGTGGGAATTGTTGGGCTAAATAACATCAGAGTACGGTCTAGACCTGCTCTTTTATGAAAAGCGCTGTGAGATAACTGTTGTTGTGATTTGGCGCTATATAAATAAAATTGAATTGAACAATGTACATTGTATACTTAGGAACAAAATGTAAATGACAATGTACAAAAGAATACATACTGTACATCCTTCTTATATCTATTTTATGTTATAAACTTATGGAGATCATAAAATTAAAGCTGTAAGCAGCGTTAGGTGGGCCCCCCGCACGTGTAGCGCGTCGAGATGTGAGGCAGCTGCGTTGCAGATTCTAGAGTTCTGCCGATGTGGCTGTGCCACGCGCACTGCACAAAAGTGTTAATCATCACTTCCTGTGTCCCCTTTATGGCGCTACATAGCACTTGGCGCTACGACTATAAGTGAATATTGGCATGTAGATGTGTTTGAGGCGTGACTGTTATCAAGCATGTAAAGTCTGGTGCAGATGTGAGCATGTACACTTATGTTACAAGAACTTCCTCTTTCATGGCAAATCTTCGATTTTGGACGCCGCGCCATGGGCATGCCTTTACTCGAAAACTCACCATTTACAACTTTTAAGCGTCAGTGGGATTAGACTAGACAGTGAAAATCTGAAGTCAGTAGGACTAATTCTCCAGGAGGAATTCTTTGTATGTATGGAATGTGTAAATCATCCAAAAATTACCATAAAATTCAAAATGGCCATGACATTTGGACATGATACATGTGACCAGAAATTTCGTGTATGTAGGTGAAATGTGCCTAAAGTTGAAGTTGATATAGCCAACCTGCTAGCAGTAGTCCATCGTAGAGTAAGAAATTTCTTGTTGCCAGCCGGTGGCGCTTGATTTTGGACGCCACGCCACGGGTACGCTTGTGGACGAAAACTCACCATTTGTACAACTTTTACTCGTCAATGGGTTTAGACCACACAGTGAAAATTTGAAGTCCGTCGGATTAATTCTCTAGGGGGAGTTTGTTAAAGTATGAAGTGTGTAAATTGCCAAAAATGACCATTAAATCTAAAATGGCTTCCTGTGGCGAGTGGGGTATTGCTTCAAGAGGCTTTTTTGTGCATCTGGACATGATACATGTGCAACCGAAATTTCATTCATTTACGTGAAATTTCGGCCAGGGGCTGCTCTGTAGGGGGATGCTACCGAGCGACTTTGCCACAGCCATGTGCGAGACCCATAAAATACAAAATTTTTTGTGTTGCCTGATCTTTGTGCAAAGTTTGTTGAGTTTGAGAATGTCTAGGCCCCCAAAAATAAGATTACTTTACAGAAAAAAAAATCCCTTCAGTTCCAATAGGGACCTTGCATGTTTCATGCTCGGGCCCTAATAATAGCTCTCCATCACAGAAGCAGGCTTAATAGGACCTTACTCTCTTCCCTCCAAAAAGCAATGATATGGAAGGACCAATCCATCCATTAAGTAGTGCCAGGGAGGCATGGGCTAACCATGAATCAGTGAATGACATGCTAGGCCCCCAAATGAGCTCATCCATTATAGCCCAACACCTTATGGCAATAAAACATTTGGGAGGGGCTGAACAGTGGTGGGTAAACAGCAGAAAAGCAAACATAGAGCACTCACAAATAGAATACAACTGCAGCAATCATTACCACAATGACTCAATTATATACTGGGGCCATGGCTTGAGGCATACAAAAGTGAATGTACAATTGGTTTGCATAAGGATAAGCTAAAAGCAACAGCAATGTGCCAGATTAAAATATTTAGATAATATAATTGGAGCTAAATCTGTAAACGTTCTGAGGTAAACTGCCAGCAATGTGCCTAACTTAACTACTTCTACTATTTTTTTCAGAAACATAGACATGCTGGTTTTTGTTCCTCTTTTCATTACATGATCCACTAAAGAAACACAGCTCTTCATGTCTTTAAGTCTGCCTTCAAGGATATCTGTCCTCTCTGGCAACAGAACAAGCAGAGATGGTGGACACACAAGGAGGGAGCCAGCTCGACAGTTTAAATTATGCTGACTGTAATTGGACAGTGAAGTATGGGGAAAGGTAGGCCTGTAAGCTTATCTTTTATAGCGTGCCAGAGCAAATTAGGTTCTGACATCATGCATAGGAAGAAGCAAGATTTTAATGAAAGTTGGTTAGTTAATGCCATTGGGGGGCACAAGGGTAGGGTCAAGAGGCTCACAGCTAATCTGAGTCAAGCGGCCTTCTAGGTCCCATGGTCCCAACCTGTCACAGAGACACAGCGGTGGAGACATGTGGTTAATTGCTCTTCAGAGATACTGGTATTTAAATACAACAAGCTTTTTTTCTATCATTGGATTTGGCAAAGGGCCAGCCCAACCATATTTGGAGCATAAAAATTCAGAGAAAAATGTACAATAAATAAAAATCAAGTTAGTAAAAGAAATGTAAATGTGGTGCAGGACAAAGTACAGGACTTCACACTGTAAAGATTTGAGCCTCCAATATTTGTTGATACTCAAATATTTCCAAGGATCCTTTGAATAATGTCAAAAACACACCATCCCATTCAGCCAAAACAAGCATGTTTCCAAAAAGATGACACTTTTGAAATGCCAGGGATTTACCTGAGAACATTAATTTGCAATTTGCTTGTTTGGGGGCCGGTAGCATATCTCAGGACAGTTCTGTTTTAGCACAAGTAAGCAGACCACACCAAACACAGCAGCAAAACCCTGTTTCCAGCCTGGTTATATGACTGCTAAGTGCTGTTAAACTTAGAGAAAATCAACTGCCAGTGATGATCCAAATGGTGTGTTTAACATTTAAGATTTCTTGTATATTGATTATTTTTTCTGGAGAAAACAGCAGCATCAATGATGATTACCATACGGTTTATTAACACCATTTCTAGAGCTTTAAAATGTGCCCATCATATTTTGAGACATTAAGTAAGGATTTTATTATGATGAGGTTACTATTGATCATATGTGTGTCATGTTTCTTTATGAGAACAGCTTGATGATACAGAAGCGCAGCTTACAATCATAACAGTCATCAGCTCAAGTTGGACAACACCCACATTCACTTGTCTGGGCTTACAGGAATTTCACTGGAATATTTGCACTTCCAAGTCATATACAGGACGGGGGCCAAACTTGTTCTGATCAAATATTACACGATTTAAGGCTTTAGTATACGTTACTTTTCTTTTCAACACACCATGGCCACGGCTCAACAAGGATGCGCGGTTCACCTGAACACGAACCGCACCACCAAACAGTTCATAAAATCTTAAAATAAGGACGCTAAGCTACGTTAAGTTTTATAGTACAACAACTGCACGTGCACGAAGAGTTAATGAGCTAAACACGCGCGTGCACTTGTTCTGATTCTACTGCAAAGTGGCTGAAAGGTTGTTGACGCAGTATAGTTGCCAACCGTTAATCAACAGCGTGAAAACAACGCTTCTTACGTGAGTACGAAACATCAATTAAACTTTTCCCATTAAGAATACATCAAAGCGTACATTCAATTTTCTAAAGTACAGTCTGGAGTTAACGTTACTTACCTATGTTTCAGCGTAGCTTTCCACGTGCAGTCCACAAAATTTCTCCAGCTGCTGTCACAGTTCATCCACTTTCAGCAGTCTCTTCCTTATTGTTAGCTGTCTTCTTAGGCTAAACCGTAGCATGTCGTGTGTGACATCGCGTCGACCTCTTCTGCGACAGTTGTTGCCAGTTTCTTAGCGGAGAGTTTGCTTTTCCTGCTGCCGTTTCGGCGGAGAGACGATCTGTCTGACTGCGGCTGAGCGTGTGTATGTGTGTGTGGACTGGGAAACCAGTAGCAGGTTCCCAGACACACAAACCCTCCCGCCAATCACGTACGGTGTCACACCACCACGTAGCAAGCATTTCACATCTGCACGGTTTGGGAGTCTCTTTGAAGTGCGAAGGGACGAAGAAGAAGCCCCCAAGCTAAATGGTAAATGAAGGCTTTGAATTGATGTTTCTGGGCTGCTATAGTAAAGTTTATCATAGCACAATTTTCCATCTATGACGTTTAATTAATAGCAGCCTGATTAGGGTTTTTAGGATCAAAACTCAAACTTACTTAAAGAGGCTATTTGTTTCCAGATGATTTAAGCTAACTTGACTATTGTCTTTATAAAAAATACACCATACAAACATCACATAAGCCACATGACAGCAGCAACTTCCAATAGGCACATGATAAGAATAGGAAGCTGAAAAATTCTGTTTGCTAACTGGTAAGTTACTAGACTTATATTAACCGTGACACTTTCACATCCTGTGGGAATATTAGACATTGGGCTGTTTTAAGTAGTCTCTGTGAATCAAACCTTAAATATGTCAGATTATAGTAGGCGTACCACAAGATGACTTAATGAACAGTAGGGCATTCCCCAAGTTCACCATTAAAAAGTAGCTTCACCGCTTTGAATTGCTTGTTTAGACAAGTTGACACTACTTGAATCTTTTCCAATAGCTCACTGCTGGATGTGTGGGAGGTGTCAATGTTCAGGACTGTCCCAAACAGCCGGCAGCTGGTGACTACCATCTTTTGTTATTAGGGCCATGCCAACAGAAATCTGTTCCCAGGGAATTCACACACACAGAGGCAGTGAAACTGTGTGTGTGTGTGTGTCTAATGTTTAACTTGGCTGGTTGGTTGTGAGTCACCCAAACTCCCTACATAGCTTTTAACTCCTCTCCTGGTAGATTTGGCTTCTTTTATAAGCTCTGTCTTCATTTTGACCAGACTTGGACAACGTTGCCTCATCTGAGATAGTTCAAGTTTTATGCGCTTCTGTTTCTTTGCCTCTGGGTCTTTGCAGCTGATCATTAACATGTTGCAGAGGGAAATGATGAGCATTTAAGCCATCATTATTTGTCATAGCAAGCAGAGGACCAGTTGTACTCTAGCAGATGTCTGTGGGTCAGTTGAGAAAGCCATGATATTAAATGCATGATAAAGGATAAACAAATCCACTTGTGGCGTACATACACCCTTCTATAATGAAATATAAATGTTTCTGAATTCATTGAAAACAGTTTATCTGGTTTGCATTTTTGTTCTAACATGCTGCAACACTGAAGTCCCTGTAAGGTGTATTTGTAAGCACATAAGAGCTTTATTAATGTCATTTTTTCACTTTTGAATACAATTTATACCAGCTACAGCTCCTAGACAAATTACTCAATTACTCCATAATCTATGCAGCCCACAAAAAAGCTTGCTGATACTTGGCAGTTGGCACACCAATAATCAAATATGAATGTTCCTTATTCCTCCAGCCCTTAAAGCTTCCTTGGGATCATATTACCGTTTGTCTGGCTTTGTGATTCCTCACTACAGCATGCTGCTCAACCATCTGGTACAGCATGTGGAAATAGTTCATTTCAAGATTTTAGATTTGAAAATGTTTGATGAGTCTTCTGAGACAAATTTTTACGCATACCTTCAGACACTTTGATTTACACAGGCTCTTCTGTTGAGTGTAAATTATTATCTGGATGGGGAATGTCTTACTGCTATGGCTGCAAGGCCATTGGGACAGCAACAAGAAGGTGTTGGATTCACTGCTACGCTTTCTAGACTTTGACACATTACAAATACTAAACTGCTCTTCTGTGCTCCCCTACGTGAGCAAACACTTTCACTGTAATGAGTCACGTTTTCCAGGTTGAGGGAAAAATAGGCAGTGGCCAGAGGGGGAAAACTGATGTATACACACACACATGCAACCACACAGACGCACACAAGCAGAGAGGGTTAAAAGGGCATTAGCTGTTTCCTGCTGGTGAGTTCGGGAATTCAGGCAGCTGAGTCTCTCCAGGGAAAGACTGGCCGCTGATTTGCTCTGATGAAAGAGGCAAAACACTAGAACCAAAGTCAAGGGTTTTTCTTTTTTGTATGAAACTACCAGTCTCAGTAACAGTCTGAAGAATGTTTGCCCAACACATATGTTGAAAGCTTAACACTGCTCATTGCTCAATTCAATCCTGAGGTTAGCATTTGGATGCACGACACGCCACAGAGACTGAAACATCCTTCAGGTTTTACTCACATGGCTGGAAGTTTCCGCGATGTGTTATAGGACTGGAATCTGTGGAGATGGAACATTAACCAAGCGCCACTATTCTGGTGAATTTTGCTAAAATATACTACAGTACTCACAGACTAGTGTGGACTCCCTTTTACAAAGCAATACTAATTACTGTCTTACTTTTATTCAGCACCATACCAAAATTGCAGAGTGTGTTTAGTGGAATTTAGAAGGAGTTATTTATTTAGTTTTGAGTAATTTTCTGGAGCAAATGTGCTTCACTGACCTGAGTGCAGTGTATCCACTTAAAACTAATGTTTCTAAAATCTATTCCCCATAGATTTTCCATTAAGGATGGAAAATCTGTTTGATAACGTGTTCTGTGCCTGCTTGTTGCAGGGCTTCGTCACTAATATACTAAGAGTACTAGTCAAATCTAAGTTAAATTTCTCTCTGCACCACTACATCAATATGAAAAGATTCAATGACTTGTGCATCATTTTATACACATTTTAAACCAGGATGACATATGTCATACTTACAGGGTGACTACTTTTTATATCCAAGATGCCTCTTTTTATGGCTGCCCCTTTTAAATAAAAGGGGAAATTATAAATGCCTTCTGCATCACTTATCGTATATCCGGATGTTTTTGGCATCATTCCTTGGAATTTAGCATGTGTGGGCTTGAGTAAAGACCGTCCACAAAATATGAGCTTGTAATGATGGACCCACTAAAGTATCCACGGGGCTGAGATGTGAAACAGTGACCACGCTCCCTCTCCTTGAGTAAAATCAGTACTTTTTCGATCAAAAGAAATCCCACAGGAGACAGAAGCAACTGTCAGAGCTTTACCTGGCACGCCTTCTCCCTAGGCCTCATCCCTTTCCCCCCTTCCTCTCTCTACACACCATCTATCCCTCCTCCCAAAAGTACTGGAAAACATAAACATCCTTCCAGCCGGTGACGTTAGACGAGGAGCTGTGCAGGCTGGCTGGATTAGAGAAAACGAGGTGCCTCAGTTCCCGTGGTGAGTAGGGTAAACATGGTGATCTGACGATAGAGGAATGGAACGGTGCACGGGACCCTTTGCTCCAACTTCTCATCTCCCCACATGGCCAGCTGACTGCTTTACACTCACACAATCCCCTACATACTCTCTATTTTTTATTTCTTTTCTGTCTGCTGCACTAATCAAATACCGAATTCATGTGGTTTGTTGTTTACTCTTCACAGTGTGAGTAATTAAACACACACATCAGACCCTGGATTCAGAGCTACACGAGAGCTCACTAGAGAGAAAAACATGTCTCATTGTGGCCAAGCCGGCAAGCATACATAACTTCAAACAGCGTGCCTGTGTGTGTGAGTTGTTGCATGCTTTCATTTGAGATTTTATGTCTTTGTTCCAAGGATATCAAACAGTGCAGTGATTTTCAGAGTTGTTTCCTGTTGTTTTTTTGGTTCTTGGTAACTTTGTGGAACTCGCCACATTCAGGGAGGTGGACTGTGTGTTTATATGAAGAGGGGGTGTCTGAAACATCTTGTTTAGGTTTCACTTGTCAAGTGAGGAAGTTGTGAAGTGTGTGCGTGTACTCTTTGCTGCACATTTCACATTACCGATCCAGGTCAAATGTAACAATCCACTCTGATAATAGTATGTGTAAAATAAAAATATTTAGACCCCGATCTGGTATTGATTTTACCTCCTAGTGCCTGATAGAATAGCTCTCACATGTGGCCCCTGACTGATCACATTGGATGCACCAGAACCCAACGTATGGCATGATACAGATATGACATTTTCTTACTTTTTTGTCTTTCTCCTTCCCTGACCCTAACACTTTTACTTTTTTAACACTTCAGAACCACTATTAGTATTATGCTATATAATCATATCTGTATTCCATTTTATTGTCCTACAATTAGTCATTCTCAAACAGTGACTGTCAAAAGGCTTATTCTGATTCGTCCAGATGATCTGTCCAATTATAGAAATTATCCATATGACCTTTCAGGCACTGCTGAACTAACCCCAGCAACTATTCATATAACTGCACACGCTGAAATCATTTTTGACAACAGTTTTGCTTTTTTAAGTGTGAATTTTGGGACCCAGTCGTTGGAATATTCCTTTGCCAAAGACAGCCACTTTAATTAGATTTGAAGCAGATATCAGCCATCCATCATCTCAATGCCTGGCCAGTAATGACTTTCATACTCAGATCAATCATGGCTGCTTTTAAAACATATCAAAGAAATTTTCTTTGAATCCCTGTTATGAATTCTGCATTACTAATAAAAGCTTGGTATTAAATCAATGGAACATTTAGTTTTAATACAAAAATCAGTATATAATGAAATGTAGACTTTTGTTTATGAGAGAAAGGGGGGAGGGCTCACTAATCTTGCTCTTAAACAGATCTAATTGGACAAGACGCCACTTTTTAACCTACAGTGAAATGTCTTTTCATTATCTTGATTCTTTCTTTTCCCTTTTCCGCTCAACTTATAGGGCAATATACTGTATTGCGTCAACCATAAAGCCACTGAAGATTAGTGGACTTTGTGCAAAATGTGCAAAATGTGCAAAAGATACCAGAACATGTGTCAGGCATGGAAATATCTTTTTCAATTGTTATGAATAAGAACTAAGTGGAAATAGTATTTGCATAGTAAACCCTGAAACCGTGTATTCTGAGACACACAGCTGCTTCACAACACTGTACAAAAGAAATACAAAACACTTCCTAACCGTGAGATGTGTTTCAGTCAGTCTGAAG